CCCGCCCGCCCCCTCCCCGAGCCGGCGCCCCTTCCCCCATAACAGGCCCCGGTTCCTGAGAGCCCGGCCGGCCTCCGCTCCCCGACAAGGGATCGGCTCACCTCTCCCCGCCTCCCCGCTCTCTGGACCGGCCGCCGGCCCTTCCGCGCCGCCATCTTGAGAGGGCGGGGAAGGCAGGGGGGAGCCTTCCTTCGGCCGCCATGCTGGGAAGGTCCCCTCTGCGCTTCCCCCTTTTTAAAGCCTGCAGTGAGGGAAGAGAAGTCTGTTATGAGGAATGTCCTCAGGAGGGACAGAGTGCGCCCTCCTCCACAGCGCGGTGGTTCTGCTACCTGCCTCTGCTTGGCACCTCTGAGGGCAGAGGGGCTTCTCCTGAGGGACAGCTTGCTGCTCCCTGCGAGACACGCGTCTTCCGTCAGCTGCCACTCTGTACAACGGTATTACACACAGGGCAGCAAGTAACAGAAGTTATCTGGGCATTGTCTCTCCTTAGAGTGCTGCTATTTCCACAGCCCTACAAAACACACCGTTTTCTTGAGGAGGGGATAGAAAGAGCAGCTAAATAGCACAGGCTAAAAAAGAGTTGGCTGCTGGATAGGAGTTGCAAATGCAGGTTTGCTGCAAAATGTAAGAGACTGTGGGTGTGATGGGGATGCTTGTGTGAGGGGGAGCATACCACTGTGGTGAAGATGTGCCCAGGAACGAGAAGGAGGTCTAAATGCTTAAGTCAAAGCCCTTCTTGTGCTTGTGAGGTAAAGGGGCTCTCCAGCAGTAGTTTATCCCGGAAGGACATAGGCTTGATTTTGCATCTCCACCAAAAGCCTTCAGAATAGGAGCTTTTGGAAGGTGACTGCAAGTCACGACAGGCACAGCTGACAGAGGTAAAAAGTTTATCCCAAAGAACTAAGTAAATGGTCAGGAAAGGACTGACACAAATGCCAATTGTATATTCATGTGTTGACTGTGAAAAATATACTGTGCTAAATAGGTGTGTGAGACTAAAATGAAAGGAATGGGCCAGCTCTGCTCCTCTGCCATTGGCTTTGAGTATTCTGTTGGATTCTTTGATTTTACATTTTAATTCTCATGCAAAAACAGTTTCTGGCTAATTGGATGAACCATTATTGCCAGTGACATAAAGCAGAAAACACCCTGCCCTACTGCAGAAAGAAATGACTACAAAGGGATTTATCCTGTATTTGTTTGCCAAAATACTCAAATTTTCTACAGAAACAACCCCCTTTATTTTTTTCTGCTACAAAGGGTTTATTTTGTTTGTGAACAACAAAATCAGCTTGCAATGAAGGAAAGAGATGATGAAGAAGAGAGATGTTTTTAGTTGGCAATGCTAAAGTCTTTTCCCATGCTGCAATTTGTAAGGCCTAATATAGTCTGAGAGTTTCATTACTGGGCTAGTACAATTAATCAGAATACTATTCTCAGATATGCTTGCAGTTCTGATTAAATCTGTCTTCTTCAATGATTAAACTAGGATGATACAAGACATACCACGGTGTACAATACTGTTACTGAAATCCATCTCATAAAGGGTGTTCTTAGCCAAAGAAAATCTCTGTAGACTTTCTTCTTTGTACGCTGACTCTAATTCCCAAATGTATTTTGTATTTGTATTTTGCATTGCTTCAGACAGGTTCATTCGATCTTAAAAAACAATCTATCCATTTTAACATAGAAGTCTATCATGTTCAAGTGCATTTTGTAAATTTACTATGCTAAGAGACAGTCACCCAGATTGGAATCGAGGCATGTTGATGGGAAGCGACACTATTGTGGATGGTATTTCTCTTTCAGGAATAAAAGGCAGGCTTTGTTCCCAATGTCAGTTAAGCCAGCACTAAATTAACTCACTCAACTTTCTGTACCTGATGTCAGTTCAGGCACGAGTACATGTTTCTGACAGCTCTATTAATAGAGGACCTAACTACAGCGCTGAAGACTGAAAGGTTATATGAAACAATTCTATTTCTATTACATTCTGTTAATCAAAATCATCCTGAATTGTTCACCGTTAGGTCACTCACTGGCAGTTATCTTAACAAGTGAAGTGTTTTATGGTCTCCTATGGCTTGTGTGTTATTTTCCTTGTAAGGAACATAAGAGGCTGTGGGTAGAGAAAGAAAGGATATGCTTTAAGCTGGCATGGATGACCTGGATTCCTTTATTCTAGCAGCAGATTCAACCCTAGTTTATAAGAGCAATAGGTGTTTCATCATAGGAATCACTAGCAACTTAAAGTACTTTAATCTTGCTCTGTCAAATCACCTTGTGTGCAGCTGCAAAATGTAGAATATGGCTCTGGTGGTGAGGGCAGGTGTGTGACCGAGACATACACTAGTTTCATGTTACCTTACAGCCATAACGACTCTATGGAATCCTGTCATGAAAATGAAGCCATCGTGCCACAGCAGTGTGGAACTAGGTTGGCTCACAGTTCATGTTGCCTGTCCATAAACACAACATGCTATCTGAAAAGAGAGAAAAGCCTTTCCCAGGCTGGATGAACTGATCTGAAGTGTCCTGTTAATATCTACTTTTTGTAATTCCTATGCACTAACACCTCATCCTACTATTTGCTGAGGCAACAAGCAGTACATTTTAGGAAAAGATCTCGAGAGAGGAGAGATTGTATTCTTAAATCTGTTTTACTGTGTCTGTGACACAGCCTCTCTGCAACTGTCTCTCCAATCTCTGCATTAAATGGAAGGGCAATAAGACTTTAGATTATTTTCTCTTCCCTGAGATATTTCTTGTATAATGCCTGTTCGGATGCTACATCCATTTGCTGTGGTCCTTACTGCATTAAACTTTTCCCTTGGCAAGGGTATATTATCATAATCACTCTTCTTGCGGTTAGAATAGGAAATCCTGGAAGTTTTCCTGTCACCTTAAAAAGGGTCAAGGTTTCACATTCAGCATCTTGCTTTTCTTGAATATGCTGTCTTTTCTTTGACTTTCTCCCTCAATTCCTCATTCACAACACGAATCACAGATTACACTAGTAGTTTCTGCTCAGTGGAGAGTCTTCCAGCTGGATTCACACCGTTAGCAACATTTGCTCCCCTACTTTAACTTCTTGGCAAAAAAAAAAAAAGCTGATGGTAAGATAGATATAGCTCCCTGCAACATGTTCTTCAATGTTAATCTGGTTTTACATGCTGGAGTCACTGAAAAGACATTTTAAATGGTAGCAATGTGAGGTATCATTTTTTAGGATTAAAAAATGTTCCTGTTAGGCAAACAGGAACCATTTATATACCCATTATAACATCTGCTGGCTTGAGTTTCTTGAAGTTTATATCTAGCAAAAAAGCAACTTGTTTTCTTAAAGGTTAAACGCTAATTATTTTTAAGTATTTATATTCTGGAATCAAATTGTCATCAGGAAATAGTACCATTTTGTTATGCTGTGGTGTACCAGTCTACCCCCCTTATAGCTGCTTTTTTGCTGTGCATTTGCTGATACCTTAGCTTGCTTTAAGGAGTCTCTCTTTGACTAAACCTTGACTGAGTTTGTTACTGAGTAGTAAAAAACAGATTACTTCTTCATATATTCTATGCAAAGGTATGCAAAGGTAACACTTGTACAGGACCATGGATATGTATCATAAAGGCAAATGCTCTGAAATTCCTTGTTAAGAGAGAATTTGGGGAAAAGAAGGCAGTGATTCACTGTACTTTTTCTTCAACTCATAGCTCCCTGCTGGCTTGAATAAGAATGTAACAAGGACTAAAAGCTGTTTTGTTTTCAGTTAGATATGACCTATAAATAAAGTAGGAGACTAAACCTGGGCTGAGAACATCAGTCTGGGCACAGATATTTTGCCCAAGTTCAAGGCTACTCCTACATAACAGGTTCAAAAGTTTAACTGTTACTCAGATGTTTGGCTCATTTTTCAATGGGAAGGCTGGGGGGGGGGGGGGGGGGGGGGTGAGGAAGTGGAGTTTCCTGGAAAAAATCGACTGGTGAATCAGTAGCATGGCAAACAGAGAAACCTGGTATGGGAATTGCTGCAGCTGCTACGATGCATCTCTTCAGAACATACCTGCACACAGAGTATGATGAAAATGTCTGTATTTACTTGTACTGTAACAATTTTTAGCTTCTCCAACTAAGATCAGAGTCCCACTGGGTTAACAGTAATCCATAACAATATCCTGTAGAGGTAAGAATTTCCATTCTTCCCTAAGAGTCTAAGTAGTTAGCAGGGACATGTGTGGCAGTCCATGGTGCTAAAGATACCAGAGCAAGCTTGTACTGGATCCAGAAATAGGAGCTTGTCCTGTCTTCCACTGCTGATACATGAAACCACAATGGCTTTAATGTTCAAACCTCACCATGGATCTATCTCTCTGTCATTCCTTCATAAATCCAGCAGTATTCCACCTCAGTCACTGGCCACAGATAAAGATTTTGTTTGTGGCAGGAAGTATGGAAAATGATTGCTTGAGCAAGGGCGAAGGCACAATGGCGAAGACTATGTTGTTCACTGGAGAGTGACACCTAAACAAAGTGTTTTGACATGACTTTGGGGTAAGATTTCTGGTACGAATCAACCTTGACAGGAATGGTCATGGTAAAACAGTCTCTGGAATTGCAGGAAATCCTTTCAGAGTCTGATGGAGTCAGGCTTTTGGTAGGAAGGCTCTATTTAAGACCTGGGTAACCCAGAATGACCTTGTTCTAAACTTTAATTGTACAAACTGAAACTATTACTTGAACAGATAGCATTCTCAGCTGGGAAATGGAGACTTTGCCTGGGCATTCATGTTAGGATCAGGGTAAAGTGCCTACCTAGAGGTGTTCACTTTACACAACACAGGCATAATTTCTTCCCTCATTATTAGTGAGGAATGAAAGCAGCAGAAATTCAAGTAAAGCTGAAAGGCTGGCTTGAATGCCAGAATAGTTATGGGAAGGGTTAAACTAAAATGAAAATTGCAGTTTTCTAGCTCCTATTTCTAAAGAAGTGAGTGTGCGAAAGTTTTCCTTGATTAGGTATCCCAGAAATTTTATTTCATTTACAGGAGAAGGAGTATGTTTATCGTAGTTTATTCAAACTCCTACTGGTTAAAGGAAAGCACAGACAGTGCTGCTAACTGAAGTAAGGTAGTGAGAGCTTGGGTGGCAGAGGAGGAAGCTGTCCATATAAGCAAAACCCCAAATACTGAAGCGCCCAGCACTTTTGGTTGTGAGGGCAGTGCTGAAGAGATGAAGCAGAAAAGGGCTAAGACTGACCCCCATTGCAGCTTTTCTGAAATAGACCAGTTGCCCATTAGAAATGCAGAGCCCAGTAGCGCTAAGAGGATGCAGAGGAAGATGATAAAAAGCCTGAGACACATCCAGAGAAATACTCGACATGTCCATGGGCACAATCTGACATAATGCACAAGGTCTGGTGCCCAATACTTTGGAAAGGACAGGGCATTCTTTCCACGGGAAAACTGAGAGAATTAACCATGAGTTAAGATTCTTCAGTATTTTGAGAATTTTTATCAACAAGAAGCTTACCAGTAACGTGCCAGGGGCAATCAGTGTCCAACTCAAGACAGTTGACATCTTGCTTATTTTCCCAAACAAGGGTTTTGCTTTGGCTGCAAGAGACGTCCATGTGGTGTTTTTGTTGTTTCTTGATTGCAGAGATTTGGCTGTAGGATTACTGGTTTTTGAGTCTTTGGAGGAGGTGAGGATGGTTTTAATAGTGATGTCATTTTGGCCTCTTGTGGGATTGATGGGTCCTCTGCTCCTCCCATTTGATCCCCTTGTGTCTCAGCCTGACCCATTACTTTGGCTTTCAATATGTCCTCGGCCCATTTCTTGGGTGTGAAACTTTGGGGTTGAAAGGTGTCTGAGTCGGCTTTGAAGGAGACTCTTTTGGCATCAAACCCATTGCATCTAAGGCCTGAAGTGGAAACATCACTCCCATTCCAATTCCTCCAGCATGCCTCAGGAACATGTTCATAAGTAACTTGCCTCCATCAGCTCTGGTTTCTGACATTGCCAGGTGCTGTCCTTGTCCCATGATGTACAAAGACAAGGTATTGCTGTTCCCAAGGCTGTACTGCTCCCACAAATGATATCTTGTGTTTCGTTTCACACCTGTACAGTATTCCTGCCTTAAATAATTTATGTAGATATAATTAAACTATTTCCTGGTGACATTTTTCATGGCCCAGGTATTCATTAACTTTGACTCTCTCATTCATTGGAAAGTAAGAAATGCCCTTTGGTCAGCATCAAGCCAGGGTCAAATATTTCCAAGCTCTACTAGGAGCCTCCTGAGTAATGTTTAACGAAAAACCCATTTCAGTAATGTCAGGTACTTTGAATGAGGATTAAATGTACATCCCAATAATTGATATAACCCTGTCAATTTTCCTGAAGAATGTTTACCATTCTTATACCCTCCTAGGAGAAGGGGATTTTCTCCCACCTCTGCTAGGAGATGACCTAGAAGATGTCTGGCACGATCTCAGAGACACTCAATGGGATGAGGATCCGTATACTGATTTACCTCTCCTGACCACTCTTCTGCAATAATTTTGTCCTCACTTTCTCACCTAAAACTAAACTCCCTTTGTGCACTGCCTTTCCTCTCTGGTGCCCACTCTAGGGCGTGCTGGAGCACAGCCCACAGAGTGCAAACATCTGGCCCCTGCTCCCACAGCCGAGAAGCCAGGACAGAAAGCTGCTGCTGGGCATCTTCTATGCACAGTAAGCACAACAGTGCCATCAGCACTGCTCTTGCTCCTCGCTTTCCCACTTAAAACTAAACTCCATCTGTGTACTGCTGTTTTGCTGACAGACAGGGTATGCCACAAAGTAACCACACTCTATCTGTATAATATGCAGAGTTTATTAAACAAGCACACTGAAGCCAGTAAACGTATTAAAAACACGCACACTAATGTGAATTAGGTAAATATCTCTATATATATTGAATAAGTACAATAAGACCAATCAGAGATACATAAGTAGAGTACCGGAGAAAGTTAGCAATGTGTCAGATCATTACTGCATAGAAACAACAGAGAATAAGAAGAAATACATTACCAGTCACCACTGAATCATCACCCAGGCCCACACTTCCAGCTGGGAAGCCGTGTTGCAGCCGATGCCAGGAGTCTCAGGTAATTGGAAAGATTCTGATGCGGTGCACCCACCCACAGGTGAGGCTTCTCTCATGGCCACATGAGGGTCCCGCTTTTATACCCGTACCAAAACAACCGGCTTTAAGACAGCTCTCTAATCGTTTACTCGTGTTACCCTCCACACACCACCGAGCTCGTACACGGCCAAACCCGGCTGGGCCATTCACACACGCACGTGGCCCCGCTCCCTCCCGCACAGCGCCAGGCCTCGCACGGACACCCGCCTCCCGCCGCTCCGGCCGTGCCGCAACACCTGCTGCCACGGCCCTCACCGGCGGAAAGCTCCCGCCTCGGCCCAGGGGACGCCGCTCCCCGCCGCCTCCGGCCACAGCGCACCGCTACCCTCCGGCCGGAGCTTGCAGCGACGGGGATACGGAGGATGTGTAGAGGCGGTGACAGGGGAAGCAAGGCAAGGCGGATTCAGCCAATGAGAACACACCGCGGGGCGGCCCCGGCCAAACGGGTTGCAGCGCTGAGCGAACCCGGCCAATGGGGAGGCAGCGCGGGGCAGCGCAGAGCGCAGCGGCCCGTCCGCACGGCAGCCGCTGTTGCCGCCGTGTCCATTGTCAGCAGCACGCACGGGACCTGCGTGAGCATCCTCCTCTGCCCCCAGCTCTCAGCAGAAAGACCTGAAGGGACATGAGGGCTGTACGTCTCCATGCAACACATTTATCTCCAGCAAGGGAAACCTAGATTACAACAGGTGCTCGTGATGGGCTGTCCCCTAAGACCTCAAGAGAAGTCTGCGATGCCCGTATTAGCTATAAAGACCAAATCTTGCTCTGCCTGCATAAAAAAAACCAGATCAGTTCTGAGCACAGATTTCCTCTGTGTTTCCCTGCGTTTGATTTCCCTGTGTTTGCCTTCCCTGTGTTTGATTCCTGGGCCAGGGCACAGGTGCTGCTTTCCAGCACCCTCTGCTTGACCCATCACTAAGTGTCCCCTCTGACTGAAGATGCTTCCCATGCTGCTGCAGCACAAAGAATTGCCTTGGCAACAGCAACCAGAGGAGTCTTTAAGCTGTCAAGCAGAGGTGGATGGGCTGAACAAAGCACCTATGGTGCTCCCCAACCTCAGGGATGGCAGCGGCATAATCTGTAGGGCTGGGAGAGGGCAGGTGGGGAAGCCGGGGGCAAGGCACAGGCAGGATGGGGCAGCCGCAGGCTGCACGTGCCAGAGCTCCTGCCCTTGCATGACCGTTTCCTTTCAGTCACCTGCAGCTCCCCCAGACTCTGCCCACAAAAGGCTCCCTTGAGCAGCCCCCTCAAAGACCTCAGCCAGCCCCAGTGCTACAGCTGTGCCCACTGCATGGCAGCACTGGCCATGGGGAACGGGAAAAAAGGTGAGTGTAGGTGGGGCCCAGCTCTGTGCCGGATTGGATGGGCCACCGGTGCGGGCCTGCTCCGATGCCAGGCAGAGCTCATGCCAACACTTCCTCAGCTGAAAGAGAGGAGAGGAAACGCCGTGTGCCCACGGCGGAGAGGGTCCCGTGGCACAGCGCGAGATGTGGCCACATGCGGCACCCTGTGTGGTTTGTGGTTCGGGTGGGCAGCGTGCAAGGAGCGTCCGTGGTGGTGGGAAGGGGCCGCTGGCCCGTGGAGCCCCAGCGGGCTCTTGTGACAGCTTCTCCATGGATCTCCTGGGGCCAAGCTGCTGCCCCAGGGCATCGCAAGGCTGGTCCTCGGCAAAGCAGGTCCTCGGCTTAAGGCCCTGTCCCTGCCTCTGCCCTCCGGGATGGGCATCCAGAGAGGAGTGAGAAGGGACAACCCCCTTGGTGCAGGCCAAAGCCTCTGCTGGGAGCTGCTCCTGACTTGTCTCCTCCTGCAGCTGTCGAGAGGCCTGAGAAGCCCCCGAGCCCACCACCTTCAGTGGGGAAAGGAAGGCCACGCAGGAGGAGCATCTGCCTGCTGGTGCCTGGCAAGACCTCACCCACTGGCAGCTGCCTGCCTTGGGGCAGGAGGTCTCGGCCTTGGCTGGGTGGGACGTGAGGCTCTCCCCTGCCCCGGTGCGTGGTGGCTGGGCGTGACTGCTGCCCGCTGCTGGAGCAGGTAGTGGCCTGGGCAAGGCCGCCGTGCCCTCGGAGCCAAGCCGGGGCCAAAACGAATCAGTGCAACTCATGGGTCTGGCTCTCTCTTGGCAGTTCCCTGCCCTCAGCTGAATCTCTCTTGGCAGTTCCCTGAGCTGAGTACCCCATTGTGGAGGAGATCCTAGAGAGGGAGAGGGAGGCAGCATGGCAGCACCCTCAATGGCTCTTGGGACCTAAGGCTGATAAGGGCAGACTGGGAACGCAAAGGGCACGGCGAGGAGGAGAAAGCCATGGCCTGGCCTGGCCTGGCAGGGCAGCGGGTGCCTGTGTAGCACAGGCTGAGGAAGCTTCTGGACCTGGGCTCTGATGCTCTTAGAGACTGGTACAGTCCCTCCCAGCAGCCATCACCCAGGGCTCCTCAGGCACCGGGCGCACACGGGCAGCGTCCATGACCACAGCATCGGTCACCCAGCCCAGGAGCGGGAGCGCGCCCGTGTTGCCAGGTGAGCCGGAGGGGACGGGGCTTCTGCAGGAGGTGAAGGGCAGGGCTTTGTTTAGGCAGCAGCTTTGCTGCCGGACCTGGCTGAGCTTTGCCGTGCAAAGGGAAGGTGCTTCCCTCACTCGCTGCCCCAGGCCCCAGCCCTGGGGGGTGCAGGGGAATCTGAAACGCCGCTCCTTGCCCTCTCTCGATGCACTGGATGCGTCGGCTCCTGCGGGTGCTGCCAGCTCCCTGCAGCCGGGCTCTGCCTCCTCTGCCGACCCCGGCTCACAGAGGTGTGCTGCTTTCCAGGGACT